GTCAGAAGAACTGGAATCGTTTTACGACGATGATAACGATGAAAATGATATCAATAACAGCTTAGAAGCAAATTCAAACAAAAGCAGCCCATTATTAAAATATTTTGAGTTCAATAAACTTAATCGCAACTCATTAGAGAAAGATTACGTTTATCATACATTTGTCTTAGACTATACTTTTGATCATGGTAGAAATATAAAAAAATGGAAACCAAGAGATAAATTGTTAACCCAAGGTGTTGATACAGTTGTTAGGTATCCAAGATTATCTCCAGAAATTTCTGAATATTACGGGCTGATTTGGGCTCTTCAAAACGTTAAAAATCCAACATGTTTCCAAGACCTACGTACAGATCCTCAATCTTTTAGGGTATACAGCTCATTTCTTCAATTTTCAAATTCACAAATAATGCAAAATGAAAATTATAAGAATTTTATTATATTTTATTTTAAAACTTTGATACAAACTCAAGACACTAGCATTTTTAAGTTTTTATCAATATTCACGTATTATCTTGACCATTTACTATTCGTTGACCCTAATCCAAAAGCAATATACCTTATAATAAGGGAAACTTTACATTCAATTATTCGTCCAATATTAAGAAGACATTACCCTAATGATATAAGATATATTATGAATAGACATAATAATGATATAAACGAAAATCGGTTTTATAAGAATAACTTTATTTATACTGATAGTGATCAATTTCTTCGTGATGAGTACTTTTTAGATGCAATAATTTATGCCTCTATCAATCATATGGCTGATAAAATTACTTTAGATGTTAAATATTATGATGATTCAATTAATTCTTTTTTTGAAGAAATTCCAAAAGAGACAAAAACATATATAAATTATGCATCAAAAACATCAATTAAGTTATATATCGATGATGATATTATTAATACTAATTTATATCCTGACAATGAAGAGAATACACACTACCAAACTACTTCAACATTACGTGCTTTCACAGATAACATTACTTTAACTGAAGAACAGCAAGTTATTCATGATAAAATTCTACAATGGTATAATAAAAGAAATCCACCAACAAATTAAACCCATATATAATATATATATAATATTAATTCAGGTATTTTGATTTTCATCTATAATAATAGTTTCATTTGAATCTGTATATTCAAGTTCCTCATAATTTATATTTGTAATCTCAATTTGGTCTTCACTTGATTTCATTAAAAGAACTTTTTTGAAATCTCTTGCTCTACTAAATGCAACATATAACTGACCATGACCAAATACCTCATCACGAATATCAATACCTAGATTTGTTACAGATTGTCCTTGACTTTTATGAACAGTAGATGCAAATCCTAATGAACATGGAAATCCATATCGGATTAAACTTTTAGGAGCTACCACCATCATATCAATGAATCCTACCACCCCAATATAAAATTCTTTAAAATTCCCATTCAAATCAAAATAACCAACTTTTAATTCTTTCCTAGACATATTAAAATCTAGCACCAAAACAATTACCCCATTAGTTAATTTTTGGGATTTATTTAAATTCATATTAACTAATAAGGGACAATATTTTGAAATTTGAATAAACCTTGGAATTCTATATTTAGACACATTTTGAGTTCGTTTTTTACTTTTTTCTTTTGTAACACTATCAATCTCATATGTTATTGCTTCAAATTTTTCAAATAGATAATCATCATACTCCATAATGAAAATTTGTTGTTTAGATATCTCTTCACAATAATATTTCATGCTTTTCTCATTAAACCTTGCAACGTTTTCAATTCTATTTGCAATAATTCTACTATCCGAGAAATAATTCAAAATATTTTTTAAGTTGTTTATTCTCATAACACTTGATTCATTCATATTTTCACCGAAAAAATTATCACTGGTCAATATATCTTTTGGGAACATTTTTCTAATCATTTCCAGATCATCATCAACAACATATTTTAAAAATTTAGGAACTTCCACATGTTTTACTTTAGTTTTTCTAATCTGCTCCAAAAATTCAAGAAATTCATCTCTATTTTTATTATCTTCAACATTATTACCATACGATCTTAATCTAACATTTTTCGACAAATAAAATTTATCGATTGAACGGAAAAAATCTTTATTAGCAATAGCAGAATTTGCAATTAATGCCGGGTCAGCATTTTGGATCACAGGAAGAAGCTGTTTAAAATCACCACATAAAATAGTGCATATACCTCCAAACATTTCACCTTCGTTATTTCTTAATTTTCTTAACAATAAATCAATAAAATCTAAAATTTTATTTTCTACCATTGATATTTCATCAATTATTAATAGCTTTTTATCCTTTAAATGTCGATACATCTTTAAATTCAAACTTTTCCTCTTTAAACAATTGAATACTTCAATAAAACTATCCTCATCTGTTGGAATTTTAAATGTTGAGTGAAGTGTTCCACCTCCAATTAAGACATTAGAAGCTGAACCTGTAGCAGATGTACATATGATTGATTTATACCCTATATTTTTCATCAACACATTTAGCAACGTTGATTTCCCAGAACCTGCTGATCCATTCAGATATATAACATTATCTAAATGAACAACTTCATCTTGAACCATTTTTTATTATAATAATGATTTCAATTTTATATTTAATATTATTATAATTTGTTATAATGTTTAGTTTTTAATATGTGAAATTCATATAATTAATTTATTATATCAATTCAAAGTATTATAAATATATTAATCGATTATATTTATTTTCGTTAATTTGTATTTCATATAATAAATCAATTAACGTACAAAAATATTCAGTTCTTTTTACACACGAAAATTGTTTAAAATACCATAATTTCTAATCTTCAGAAAATTGACTTTAACTATATTTACAAACTAATATTTTATATTACACCTCCGCGTCATAACATCTAGAGCGTTTTGTTTAATTTGTCTCCTATCAAAAAGCAATTAATCAATTTTTGAACAACTTAAAGTTCAAATTACGTACTCATTTATACTTTTAAATTATTTGCAGAATTTAACATATATTTTTGAAACTTTAAATATATATAATTTAAGGTTACATTAATTTAAATATGCCAAGATTGTTAATTATTCGGTTAAAATTTACCTAAATGTTTTAATTAACGTACGTTATGATTTAATTATATATATTAGCAACCTAAATTAACTTAAGAGTTTACATACAACTTTAATTATTGCTAATTTCATCGCAAGCTTCAATATGTAACATAAAATATCAAATTTCATATTATACAACCACTTAAACTTTATTTTAACAACAAAAAACTTATTCGGCTAAATCTCTAAATCATCATATCAAATATTTGATTAACCATTAATAATTATAATACTTGCTTAAAAGTTGATATATAATAATTGGTAATTCGCAATATCGTTTATCACAAAAATACTCGTATGTTTAATTTCTTTATTCGTCTTCATCTCATTCCATTAGCTAATATGACAGACAATATGGAAACAATCTTCAAAATTCACATTATTGATGCTACTCTAACAAATAAAAACTTGCTTTACGGTAGAGTTATTGACAACTCTTTAAATTCAGAAGCTTTGATGATTTCCGGTTGCTTTTTACCAATAATTTTACCTTTTGATCTCCCAGATGAAACTATTGAAAAAATTATGTTTAAAGGAAATTGCAACTTTACCTTGAATTCAATTTCCAAATTTAAGTTTACTCCTTCAAACAAATTTATCTTTGTTAATAACCAATCATCAAATTCTCCAATGTGTGTTGAAATTCTTGATGATCAATTTGATATTTTATTCTTGAATTCAAATGAAAAAATTGGAAATATATCTTTTGATACTATAGATAAAAATGATATCCCTACAACTGCAAAAAAAAATTCTTTAAGAAGCATTATCATTCCAGAGTTCTTCAAATTCCAAAACTTTTATACTTTGATGGTTTATCAAAAAAACAATTTATTCCCAAATTTTACCACTAATCCAGTTTATTTTTGTCAAGTTGCTTTCAAAATTATTCAAAGTTTGTCAAGACCTGAAAGATTTTTCATAACTGATAATATGAAATGTATCATGGATCTCACTGTTTTAAACTGTCCTGAAAACGTTGAAACTCATTTGAAACTGGGAACTATTTGTTATTCAAATTTTGCTAGAATTGATAAAAAATCATTAATCGTGAATTTTCATGATCTCAAGATTGTTGATAAAAAAGCTTCAAAATCATTACCTACCAAAAGTTTAATTAATACCATTGATAATTTCAAAGACGGAACATATGTTGGAGATTTATTTGATAGTAAAGCTTCTGCTAATTTAGAAGCTTCCCAAGCTGATATTTCAATTAATGAACTAAAAGATCATTCAAAATTCCAAAGTAATGATAAGTTCAAAATAAGTAATGTTCAAATCAAACCAATTGATTTTTCATCTTTAGATTACATCGACAATGATGTTTATGTTGCTTGCAAATCATGTAACAAAGCTCCAGAATCAGGAGCATTAAATTCATTAGTTATTGAAAGGATTAGAAATAACACTTTAGTTGAAGGTGATTTTAGTGCAGGTCTTACATGTTCCAGAAAAACTTGCAAAGCTGGTGAAGCTCAATATACAAAAAAGTTTCGCCTACAAATTTTTCTTTTTCAAAATAATGTTGAGTTGAAGGCTACACTTTTCCAAGATCAACTTGAGAAATTATTAATTGCTTCAAATATTAAATTCCCCAACAATTTTGATTTCAAAATGAATTTAGTCTCATTTATTGAAAATATGTCAAGTTTAGAACGAATTGCAAATGTTGAAGAACCTTTAACAAAATTTTTAAATGAAACTATTTTTTCCTTTTTAATTACTTATCAAAAACAATCCAATTCTTCTTCTAATGACAAATTTGTTCCATTCACCATAACAAAAATTTTATAATCTTATAATTTCTATGATAACAGCCTGATTTTTTTCTTTTTAACTAACAATTTACAAAACTTTTATGTATATTTTCATTTATAATAATGTTTTTTCAATTCTAAATTTATTATAACGTATTAATTCCTAATAGTTTTCAACCATATCTATCTCATTATTGTAATTTATCAAGTTATTTAACACTTATGAATACGTCTTTCGATATATATTAATATACAATATTCAAAATACTACAATTTCATTAGACCATATTTTATATTAATATATTTTTAAACATTCACATCGTTATTTTCTTTCTAAAATATGAAGTGGAACCAATGAACTACTCCACGAACATCTAGACATGAATACTTTATGATTAAACAATGAATTTTTAATTTCTTCACTTTTACCTCTAGAATATTCTGCAAAAATTGGTAATTTATATGAAATAAAAATTGATCCTTTTTGAATTTCATCTTTCAAATAAATATCTCTTAAATCCATCAAACTTGATTCAGAAAACAGCAAATTTGAAGCAAAAACCATACATTTTTGTTCGTAATTGTGTAACTTCATAAAAGCTTTCTCATCTTTGGAGAATATAACTTTTGTTTTGTACATTCTCATATCATGATTAAGCCTCAATAAATCACAAATCTTTCTAAAGTTTTTCTTATAATGTTTCATGACTTTCTTTAATTTGAAATTCACTTCGAAACCGATCAAACTCTCGAATAATTTCAATGTATTGATGATATAAATGTTTTGAAAAAGGCCAGCACCAATTTCAACAAAACATTTAAATGATTCATCGTGATACATCGATATTATCGTGAGTAGATCTGGTAGAAACACTTCTCCATATTGTAAATAACTTTTATTAGCAGCTCTTTGTAGAATCCCTTCATTTTTAACTAAGCTAATATGCCAACAAACATTTGTAATTTTCTCCAGTATTTCAATTTCCACATTGGTGTAATCAGTCTTTAGTTTCCGTAATTCGGATTTATAATTTTGCTTAAAGAATTCAACAATACCATTAATGTCATCAACAAGAACAATCATATCTTTTCCTGTAACAACATCTTTGAATCTCTCATCATCAATACATCTAAATTTCTCTTCAGCTAAATCTGCATCAATCTTAAGAAATAAAGCTTTGTAAATTACCGCAAATGACCCTAAAATCATTAAGCTATCAACATCATATCTTTTCATCATTGGTATTTTAATAACATTCTTATCCATAATTAATTTCAACTTTAACGTTCCTTTGTTTAATGGTGGTTTAAACATCAGCTTAGTTGAAGTACCATAACCTTCTTCAAAAAAATTCTTAAAAATATTATAATCTAACTTAAACTCAGGAGTTTTTGAGCGAAACAAAGAATCATTTAATTTGATAATCTCTCCCATTTTCTAATCCACTGAAATTTTTTAATTCTTCAAAATCAATTTAGCAAATTGCACTAATTCAAACCAATGTTCTATATTAATTTGTAAACATTATGTTAATGTTCTCATTTTAATATGATATATTGCTTGCTTCTATATTTACCCTTAAAATTTTGACAGAAAAACAAAAAAAAATTCGCGAACATTTAATATAAGCTAATGTAACTAAATTATTAAATTTACTTAATAAAAATCATCATATCTCAACAACTACTATTTAGTTTTGACTACTATAAACTTCCCCTAATACTAAATTGATTTCGTCAAAACATTCACTATATAATTTAATAAACTTTACCAAAATATGACTCATAATTCACATTTTTTTGAAAAATGTCGGGTACTTTTCCTTCTTAAACTTCACACAAAATACAGACAAAATATGCCTATAATAATATTAAATGACAATTTAATATAAAATGTGAGCCTAGTATTTACATGAATAATATTATTTTCTCAATAAAATATTTCATTGTATGTATATATTATATAAAATGTCTTTTATATCTAATACAAATATTTTAAAAGCTGCAATTACATTTATTAGTAACTTATATTATCAAATCTTTCACACAATTCGTTTTTAATAGTCTCATTTAAAGCACTAAATACTTTTTTATCAACTATACCCTGAGTAACATCTAAAGAATTATCTTCATTATCTTCATCATCAGAACTGACATCATATTCACCCGCATCAAATCTATCACAAAATTTATTACCGAATTCCAACGCTTCACCACCTATTGATGAAAAACCCTCACAAACAATTTCCTTCAAATCTGATACATCAACATCTGGCAGATTAAAATCAATCATTTCATTAACCCTTTTATACTCTTCACCTCTTATTTCCATCAACTTAAAAAAAAATTTATCCCATTCCTTCCTAACTTTAAAGAAACCATTCAGAACTTTGAGACCAGCAAAATCTACGGCACCAATACAATTCTTATATTGACTTTTGATCTCCTTTATATACTCATAACCTCTAACGCCTTGCGCTTTCGCAATCAAATGTTCAAAAAATATAACATTTCTATCCAAAATCATATTATTAAATTCTGGAACAACAATTAACAAATGCTTTTGGTAAATTAACGTAAGAAGTAACTTCTCAAATGCATTCAAAAAAGATAAATCAACATTACAGTCTTTAATTATGATCTTTGCATTAACTTCCCAATTTAACAAACTCTTTAATGTATTTCCAACATCAATTCCTTCCATTCGCTCATATAAAACAATATATCTATGAGGAAAAGAAGTACCTCCATTATTAGAATAAAGCATCTGATATATTGAATTCTGCAATAACATTTCAATACTAATCGTCATATTTAATATAAGTTACTATATTTCCAATTTATGATATTAATATCAGTAGCCAATAACCAAAGAATACCAAAATTATATATTTATTTACGTAATAAAAGTTCAACATGTTGAATTTATATAATATATATATATATATAACAAAAATGATTTACAATTTAATTGATTTTTATGAATAAAAGATATTGTAGATATAAGTGACAACATCATAAAGATCATCGGGTATTCTTTCCCATTAACAAACAACACCATTAATAACATAATTTATTTATCTTTATCATAAACTTAAATATCACTATAAACATAAGATTACATTTTTCATTAATTACTTTTGAACTTTAATGTTTCTTAAAAGGTACTAGAATTATAATAATTTGACTATTTTCAACTCTTTTCCTTTCTTTTTAAATCAACGACAATACAAACAAACAAATAAGCAAATTTCGATAAAAACATAAAGAGATATTATGTTAAATTGAACTTGATTTATTTTCACTTCGACACATGTTAAAAACTTTATTATTAGACTTATATCTATTTAGCTACAACATTAATTTACTAAATGTCATTATATTTTCTTTAATATGTTCAACTATACATTTTTATACACTTAATTTAATTTATTACAACAACATCAGCAACATCTAATTATTATCTATAAATCAAATCATTACTAATAACATTATTATTCCATCAGGACATATATCGTCAGCAATAAAATAATTATAATATATATTTTTTATCAACTTCTATCTTTGACTCTTTCTGTAAAGAACTTTATGATACACC